TCTAGAAATATATACTCCACTTTGTAATGTCGTTTGCGATTTGTTGGACATTATCTTGGCGATGCCATTTCTGTATCTCATTTGTTTCTGGTTCCCAAAGGAGACATTGCAAAGCCTCGCCTTTCCTTGACCTGTTGGATCTTTGCCCAAGATCCTGGATGACCACCGTGTTCCAGGTTCACCTGGTGGTTTAGTGATTCTTGGCTTGTTTCCCTGGATCTTTGGAATATCTTTTTAGCACGTTCCCATCCACAAAGAGTTCAGGGATTGGCTGCAGTTCAGAGTGAGGCATTTCTCATACCACTTTTGGGTTCTGCTGTTCAGTTAAATCTGGTGCCCAGATCATTTACTGGGTTGACCTGGATGGTACTTTATGATCATCTGTTGGGGGAGCCACATTCTGGCTTACATCAATGATAGACTGGTTAGGCTTCTCAGTCATCTTGTTTACTAACCAGGAATCTGGTTCTTTTCCAGTTCACTCACTTGAGTTTTTCGTCACTGGAGAGTTTTGGATGGAGCCCTCTCAGGTTCAGATTTGGTTGGGCATGGTCTGAGATGCCAGAAGGGCCTACCTCTCCCTGCCTTGGTGAACCCTTCTGCTGTTGCTGCATCTCAATCTGATGGTACAGAGTACCCAAATTTTGTCTCTAGCATCTGTTAGGTAGCCTGAAGTTTTACTGTGTTGCATCCTTTGGACTGGGTTTGAAGATGCTGTACCAGCTTCTTCAGTGCATCTTCAGGAGAAAACTAGACTGTTTTCTAAAAAATGTCGGACTAACTGGGCTGTGGTGGGTATGTGGGCCTGCTTACTGCTCCAAGCAACAGCCTGGGAGGAAGGCTTTAAGGGAGCCGGTCGGCCGAGCGGACAGCACACTGGACTTGTGATCCTGTGGTCCTGGGTTTGATCCCAGGCGCCGGCGAGAAACAATGGGCAGAATTTCTTTCACCCTATGCCCCTGTTACCTAGCAGTAAAATAGGTACCTGGGTGTTAGTCAGCTGTCACGGGCTGCTTCCTGGGGGTGGAGGCCTGGTAGAGGACCGGGCCGCGGGGACACTAAAGCCCCGAAATAATCTCGACATAACCTCAAGCCTGGTGGACCAAACTCTCGCAAATCAAGCCTGGCCTCTGGCCAGGTGGGGAATAGAAGAACGCACAGAACCCCATCAAGCAGGATATCATTTTGTTATTTGGGGCTCGGTTTTGTGACGCTTTTCAGTTTCTTCCCCCTAGAGCTGTTCACAAATGTCAAACCTCAGCAGAGGGTGTTATTTCCAGCTGTCATTACACCAGTCAGATATATTAGATGTTTTGCTTGGTTTGTCTGGTTGGGGGGGTCATACTTTGCCCTGTTGCCCACATTAGAGCATAATTTGTGTGTGTTTACTAGTGTTTTTGCGGGGGTTGAGCTTTGCTCTTTCGGCCCGCCTCTCAACTGTTAATCAACTGTTTACTAACTATTTTTTTTTTTTTTTTTTTTTTTTTTTTTCCACACCACACACACACACACACACACACACACATACACCCCAGGAAGCAGCCCGTGACAGCTGACTAACTCCCAGGTACCTATTTACTGCTAGGTAACAGGGGCAGTTAGGGTGAAAGAAACTTTGCCCATTTGTTTCTGCCTCGTGCGGGAATCGAACCCGCGCCACAGAATTACGAGTACTGCGCGCTATCCACCAGGCTACGAGGCCCCACTGATATGCCACCCGGGCTTTGTGGGTGGACACTTTATTCATACAGATTACCTGGTCATTAGGATGGTAGTCCTGCTTGGCCAGCCAAAGGTTTATCCCCAGTACAATGATATTCTTAAATTTGAAGCCTGTTGAAATTTGTCTGTCTTCTAAGCCAAATATCCATGCTTGGGATTTCTGGATGTCCAACCAGTTCTAGGCCTCTGTTTTGTTTAACCCTTAAATGGCGCATGGCTATGTACCATTTGACACCCACAGGCGCATAAAAAAAAAAAATTCTTCCTAACCTGTTAATTTGTGTTCACTGATCATGGGAAAATAATAAAAAAAATCGTAAGTGGCATATATTGCCCGCTATAGGGTGGGGAAGTCTGGCAAAAAAACAGGCGCTGACTCAGCGTGCGTCCAAGACGGTCTGTTGCTCGCCAGCTGTCAGGCCGGAGTTGCCACAGAGATAATTACCTAATTATTTCAATGTGTCTGATTTTTCGTAGTTTTTTGCTGTAATTTTATTCAATAGTGTGTAGTGTGATATAGTTATATAATAAAATGAGTGAATCATCACTGTACTCAAAAATATGATGTGCATATTGTTGATTCAATTATGTTCATCAAACAGTGACCAAATACTTTGTCGGTTATTACACTATATACACAGGTTATATATAAGTATCTGCATGTTTTGTTCACCATAACGAACCACTAAGTTGCTATTATGAGTCAAAAAGTAACGAGGAGTGACTGCCGTGTACCAGCCAGCCACTCACGCCCTCCCTCAACACCTCACTCGCCCACATTCTCCTCCCATCATACTGTTTTTGCTTTTATTCACTATATACAGACGTTATATATAAGTATCTACATTCGTGTTCACCATAACGAACCACTAAGTAGGCATGCTGAGTGGCAGTGCCAGTGGCAACCTGCCACTGGCTGCTACTTCCTCCCTCCCTCAAGTCACCTGACTGGCCCACATTCTCCTCCCACAATACTGTTTTTGCTTTTATTCACTACATACAGACGCTATATATAAGTATCTACTGTACATTCGTGTTCACCATAACGAAGCACTAAGTTGGTATGCTGAGTGGCAGTGGCAGCCCGCCATTGGCTGCCACTCCCCTACCTCACATCACCTGACTTGCCACCATTCTCCTCACACCATACTGTATTTGCTATTATATACAGACGTTATACAGTATATAAGTATTTACATGTTTTGTTCACCATAACTGTACATCTAAGCTTGTATGGTGAGTAAAGGCACAAAGACGGTTACACAGTCAGCTGGTGGCTGCTGCCCTCAAGGCCAGGCGCACTAATATTTCTCCTCCAGCAATACTGTTTGTGGTGTTATTACGCTATATACACACATTATATACAAGTATCTACCTGTTTTATTCACCATACTTGTAAAAGTAAACTGGTATGGTGCCCAAAGACCATCGTGGTCACCAGTAAACATGGTAAGTCGTGCAGACAATGCCACCGTCGTCGCCAAAATGGCGGCTCCCAACCACCTCCTCTTGCTGTTTATACCCTCTATACACACGTTATATATACAAGTATCTACATTTGTGTTCACCATAGCGAACCACTAAGCTGGTATGGTGAGTGCAGTCAATAAAAGGTTTCCCCCACACAGTCAGAAGACAACGCCACTACCCTCCCTCCCCACAGCATTACTCCTCTCTCCATGGAGCAGTGCTAAATTGTGGTGATCCACAATCCTGCTATTATCAGAACCCTGGTCAGTTTTATCACAGTCAGGGGTCTTCTGTAATAATATCGCTACATAATAGCATGAACAAGTATATTATGGCATTTTTAGGCGATGCTGTGGTCACAAGCTGAACAGCAGTGCTGTGAGCTCATGCTGCGTGCGTCAGGCTTGGTAGCTCGCTCAATACTGAGGCCCCTAACACCTGGGAATTTGGCCCAAGATTTTTTAAAAAGATGGCGTCTGTTTACAAGAGCCCTGATGGTGTGGTGAACCCCGTTTGTCCGCGGGCTATTTAAATCTTGTGTAGTACTCCAAAGCATCATATGATGCGATGCACAATTTACTGCAAGTCGGTCAAAGCATCATATGATGCGATGCGCAATTTAAGGGTTAATGTCCATGGAGTTTCCTTCAGGGCACTGAATTTCTTTATCCATGTCCCATCTCCGTAACTGCCCCTCTTCACTAGTAAGCCCTGGTAGTCTGTTCTGTTTCCTTTTCAGGTTCGACTGCCTCTTCTGACAAGGCTTTGAGATCGCCTGTAGAGTGCTTGGTAGCTACATGTCCCTGCTCGTTCCCTTCTTTTATCCTAAAGTTAGGACAAGATGCGATGGAGATGGTTTGTGAATGAACTCTGGCTGGCTGACCATAATCCTTACTGCCCGGACTGTAATCTGGTGGCAGGAGAATGTAGCTAGACTAATCTCAACTGTGGGAATAATTGGTTTGCATAGTGCTTTTCAGATCTATCCATTTTTTTAAAGCAATTACATATTTTGGAGAATTTTTTACATAGTGTTGAAGCTTTTGCTTGGTTCTTTGGTGATCTGATCATCAGGCTTTAGTTTAGCCCTGTTTTGAGAGCCAGAATCTGGTCTTGGCCCTTAATAGCATGGTGCTCTCGTCATAATCCTGGCATGTTCTCCAAGACTGTTACTTCCAGGATGTAGCTGTTGAGGCCCACAATTATTGCCACCTTCCAACAAAGGCAAGAACACTGCTATAGCAGATGTTGAAATTTTCCAGAAGTCATTACATTCCTACAGGAATTGCAGTGTTGAAGATTAAAACATGTAGCAGATAGCAGAAGTGGTGAAGGGTAGGGAAGGTGGTGGTGCAATATTTCCTGATACCTAAAATCGGTTAAAAGAGTGTTACTCTCTAATTACCAGATCTAGACAAGCTTTTGCTTGGATCAGCCCGCAGGCCCATGTATCCATTACAACCCGGCTGGTCTGGCTCTTCTTGCAGGAACTTGTCTAGTCAATTGTTAATTCATGCCTGGATAATAAAGCTAATTATAGTGGTGAGGATGGCTGTGTTTAGTGTAGAGGGTTACAGTGATGAAGACAGTGTGCAGTGGAGATGTAGCCCTCCATCACCCAAGTGATGCCGGGTACCGTCTCTTGCATCTATTGACACTATTATACATAAAAAAATCAATAAATTAAAAATTTGCTTGTCAAAACTTTATATTGAGTGCATTCTGTAAAGTTTCTTTAAAGTAGGTAAGACGGTACCTGTGTAAATTATGCAGAATGGTGAGAGAATTTAACCACCGTCTCTTCCAAGGTATTCTGGAGGTAACAGCTACAACCCTCAACCTACACCAGAGTGGCAGAAAGGCATCAACACTTTCTTCAAAATGGCACCTAAACCCCAAGAAGGAGAAAGTAGCACCAACAGTGGAAACAGTAGCAATAGTACCCCAGTGAAGAGTGAATCTTCACCAAGCAAGGAGGGAACTTCAAGCAACTTTGCCAAGAATGGCATGGTCTCGGATGATGAGGATTAATTTGGTTTCTACGGTGGATATGATTGAAGTTATATTTTTTCTACTCGTATTAATCTATGTTGTTTAGTTTTTACCTTTACAAATTTAATGAAATTTTACGAATAAATCTAATTTTGTTTGAAAAGTGGTACATAACTGCATATAATGTTCAACAGTGATTACATAATTAATAGGTGTTTCAGCAGAGCTTCTCTTGCTAAATCCAAATGAAACGTCTTACTCCTTATCTCATAGCCCCTCTAAAATGATTTAGGTTATTGTGTTGGATTTGTTGTTGACATAAGAACCTTGTCATGTACTGTACAATGAGTTTTAATAATAAAAATTTTATTTGTATCCAGGTGAATTATTTCTCACAATAATTTAATGTGCTATAAATTACTCAAAAGAATATTTATCACATTGTATATCACACTAGCTTCAACCTGGTTGCCTTAGAACACTTGTTACTGACATCAGAAATATTTCCCCAAAATATAAGTATTTAACTATTTTAAAGGTAGAGAGATTTCACACTAGAGGCAAATAATTGGGAGCCTAATTTATAGGAGGGTATTCAATTTGAATATATTGGACAAGAAGCAGAGTTGTTAAGCTAGTGGTAGTGTAGTTGTCTATGGGAAGAATAATCTAGCTCATGATATGACTGTACATGGTGCATGTACCTAGTAGCCAGAACGTCGTACTCGGCCTGCTATGCAAGGCCCGATTTGCCTAATAAGCCAAGTTTTCCTGAATTAATATATTTTCTCATTTATTTCTTATGAAATGATAAAGCTACCCGTTTCATTATGTATGAGGTCAATTTTTTTTTATTGGAGTTAAAATTAATGTAGATATATGACCGAACCTAACCAACCCTACCTAACCTATCTTAATCTAACCTAAACTAACACAACTAAGTTAATAATTTATGGTCTTAATATAATATAGTAATACTAATTCAAATAAAGTAATTGTATAATTGTAATTATATAATATATAAATTTTTATCAATGTGGATGTTTTAATGCAATATTCTCTGCATCGTTTAGATGTAGTTTTATTAAGAAAAGGGTACTTAACATTGTTAATCAGTTAATTTTTAAAAGTACTGGGAATATGTACAGTACAAATATTCAGATAATTAATATTGATGATGTAATGAACATGAGATTTGGACTGTTGATCAGTTTTATAAAATAAACCTTTGACATGCACTCAAATGTCGTAAAAAATGGGTAAAATTATCATGCATTCCAGAAACCACTGAAAGAAAGAAAATTAAATAGGAAAGAGTGCAGTATTATTTTCAACCATTCCTACCACAAATGTTGTATTCAGACTGTTGTCAATATAAAAATAGGCTCAGCTCTCAAGGATGTTGCAGGTTATCACTCTGGCTATGGTGCCAATGTCAGAATTGTCAAAATAATGTACCTTGCATACATCAGAGCTTTAGTGGATTATGCTGCACCTCTGCTTGCCTTGATACCTGAAAGAAAGCTTGGAGGCCTTGAAAAATTGCTGAACAAAGTCTTGAGGATAATCCATGGGTGCCCTCGTACCACAAAGATACTTACGGGGCCGGGAACTGAAATATTTGTCCGAATATGAAATATAGTGAAAACTGTTAAAAAAATCTCACGTTACTTGGCATTTGCATAAAAATTTCATCCCAATGTGTTAAGAAATGGATTTTATATGAATTTAAAAATGTGCAACCAGTACTGATGATGATAACGCTTCTTAGTGGAACTTGTGCATAATGCAGCGGTTGAGATGCAAGCACCTGTCCGACGCACAAAGAAGAAGAATAGTATGTTTTGAGAGTATGATAAAATTGAGAGTAGATTCAAAGAAGCAAAGGGAAACATGAAAAGCACATGGAAAAAAATCTCTAACATCCTACGATCTAAACAGCAATCACATAGCAAGCAGATAACTCTACAAAGATGGTTATACACCTGCTACAGAATTTAATAGCTTCTTTTCATCAGTTAGTGCTAACCTAGCTAAAAAATCCCACAGACCTAGATGCATGTTACAATAATATACCTTGCAGGCAGCTATCCAAACTATCTTCCTCTACCAGTCAGCCTGACAGTGTGTGTTCACTGTTAACTCGCTAAAAACCAAAGCTGGGGAACATTAGTGAAATACCATCTATGGTATATGAGAGTGCCACCCATGCCCTTGCACCACCCATAGCTCTGCTATTCAACAAATCTATAGTGTCATACACTCCCTGATATACTTAAAAAAGAACGAGTAATGCCAGTTCATAAAGGAGGCGATATAGCAGACATTAACAATTACTGTACAGACCAATATCAAATACCTGTATTTGAAAAAAATTATTTATAAACGGCTCTACTCCTTCCCCGTAAAATTCAACATATTAAGTCTGTCAGTTCGGCTTCCACTCCCAAAAGAGTCCCAACGATGCAATTGTTAGTCTGTTTGATACCATTTACACAGCCCTAGACAAAAAAAAAAAAATTCCCAATTTGACTTCATTGACCTGAAAAAGGTCCTTGATACTATTAACCATAACTACCTCTTGCTTAAACTTCACCATTATGGAATCTGAGGCCTTGCCCTGAACTATATTTAATATTATCTTAGTGACAGACATAAATATGTAGCCATCAATGATATAACCTCCCCCCACTCTACTATTAACTGTAGGAGTGCCACAGGGCAACATCCTAGGACCTCTCCTATTTCTTATATACATCAATGATCTGCCTAATGTGTCTAACATTTTCAAACCTATATTATTTGTTGATACTACCTTCAGCTACTCGGCCACCAAACCCCCCCCCCCCATATTAAATGATGATTTTTTTTTTGGGGGGGGAGGGGGAGTAAAGAGGAGGGAGAGGCATAGGTGAAGGGAAGTATAGAAGTGGGAAATACAGAGAGGTATGAAAGCAGGCGGGCTGTGCGCCTTGCTGACAATAATGATGTAAGTAATGAATTAGAAAAATTGTCTTTCTGAAGCTGGATTGATTTGCTTCCAAATAAGATGTAGTAGGTCTTTTTTTATGTTTAGTGTGAGTTTGTTGGTTGACATACATAAGTGGACATGTAAGTAATGAATCTTAAGTAACTACATCTTATTTGGAAGCAAATCAAATACCTGTATTTACAATCCAGCTTCAGATAGACAATTTTAACATCAGCATTAAAAATTATGGAAAGTTCCTTAGCCTATACTTAGACAAGAGACTCAACTTCAGCATCCACATGCAACACAAAACCAAGAAAATTTAAAAAACAGTTGGCATGCTTTCTAAAATCAGATGTTCCAAACTCTGCTCTCCTCTCATTATACTACGAGTTAATCTATCCCTATCTTACATACAGTATCTGTGCATGGCGTTCAACAACTGCAAACTACCTCAAACCCATCATCACCCAGCAAAAATCTGCTATTAGGACAATAACAAACTCTGCTCTCAGACAGCACACAGCTCCCCTGTTTAAATCCCTAAACATGCTAAACATAAACTCACTCCACACATTCTCTTGTACCATTTACATTTACGAAACCCTGCTCCAAAATGCAAATCCTGTTCTGAAACTCTTCTTGGACAGATGTAACAGAACACATAATCATCACACCAGAAATAATTATCTTTTTGATATCCCCAGAGTCAAACTTAATCTGTGTAAACACTATGCAAATAATGGGACATAGTCTATGGAACTCAGTCCCTAACGAAGTGAAAAGCTGTCCAACTTTTGCCGTACTCAAAAATAAAACCGAAAAGTATAAAATTTTATCTTCATAGTTTTCTACCCATTGCTTTAAACTCCCACTGTATCTTGTGCTACACACTCCGTCAATATATGTTCTTAAGCCATAAAACCTCACCATTGTAATCGTTGCTGTCATCTTATATCATGGTTGTTATACTGAACGCATATTTTACTGCATTATACAGGTACCTGGAAATAATCCTCAAATTATGCTACTACAATGTACATATTGACAACCCCCAAATTCTACTTTAATGTACCTACTAATCTTTGTCAAATTTTCTTATATTGTACCTGTTAACATTTTTTAAATTTTGCTAGAAATTACCTACTTAAAATTATCTGTTAGATTAAGAACTTACCCAAAACACTGTGTGTGCTAGTGGCTTTACAAGAATGTATAAATATCAGTGCTTTGTACTCTCATAAACCCAATTTATCTTCTTGTATATATATATAAATAAATAAATAGTACTGTAGTGGTAAATACGGTCAGGGTCCCCATTGAGGGCCTGACCTGACGGCTGAGTGGACAGCACTCGGGATTCTTAGTCCTAAAGTTCCAGGTTCGATCCCCGGCAGAGGCGGAAACAAATGGGCAGTTTCTTTCATCCTGATGCTCCTGTTCACCTAGCAGTAAATAGGTACCTGGGAATTAGACAGCTGCTTCCTAGGGATGAGTAACATAGAGGATTGGGACACTAAGCCCCGAAATATCTCAAGATAGTAAGGAGGTTAAGCCAATTAAGGAGCGCTGTCTACTCAGCCGTCAGGCCCCCCTGTCGGCTGTCAATATCAGCTGCTGAGAACCTGATGAAATCTTCAGTTGTAGAAAAAATGCCTAGGACAGAAAGGTGCTTATTGATGCAGGTGGTTAGGGTCTTGCTGTGTCACTAGCACTGCCTTTAGTTGGTAGTTAGACTTGAACCATTCTGTTTAGCCAGAGGATGATAGGTCATGGTGTGGTTGTGGTTTCCAGCAATTGCAGCATATACTTTGTGATTGCTATTCAAATTGCCAATCCTGGTCAGTAATCATCATGTGGGCTACAAACCAAGAGACCCAGCCATGGAAAAAAGCATGGAGTATCAATTCTACCATCATCTCAACCTTAGGAACTGCCTTGGGCCACCAGGAGAAGTCATTGGTATAAATAGACGAGTGAACCTCAGGATGACCCCCTCCTCGGTGAACGGTGTCTTAACACAGTGAGGTGCTCTTGTGCACTGTCAGGGGGTAGAAGGGGTTGGACCAAATCTATACAGTAAAATAACAACATACTGGAGTGAACGATATGGAAGAAAATACAGAATATAACTGGTGAAGAGCAGGGGTGCCATAGGCACAATCAGAGAACACTATAAACATCAGAGGTCCGCGATTGTTTAACATACTCCCAGTGAGTATACGAAATATTGCCGGAATAAACATAGACACCCTCAAGAGAAAACTTGATAGTTTTCTTCAAGAAGTGGCAGATCAACCAGGCTGTAGTGGATATGTGGGCCGCTCCAAGCAACAGCCTGTTGGACCAAGCTCTCGCAAATCAAGCCTGGGCCCCAGACTGGGCTTGGGGAGTAGAACTCCTC